GCACGGGGTGGGGGTGGCAAATCACACCACCCCCTGCGACAGATGGAAATGCACGTGTACGCACACCCATGCACACACACGTGCACAGCCGTGCACACAGTGTGCACACACTCCTGCATCCCCACCACCCAGCACAGGCTCTAATCACACCTCCCTCTGCCCCTCACCCAGGGGTGCTGCTACGGGGAACACGGGTGCAAGCCAGGCCATCTCCCCTTCCCTGGCACCGGCAGCCAGTCCGGATCCTGGGTGCCCATCAGCGGGTACCAAACGGTGAGTCCTCAGAGCTCGTGGGGTCCCGTCACAGCGAGGGGTGCCCAGGGACCCTCCTTGCCAGAGCCCAGGCAGCTCTGCATGCCCCACACCACGGCTCACCCCACTGCCAGCCCCACAGGGCTTTGGGATGGAGGGATGGGGGATAAAGGGATGGAGGACTCAGGATGGAGGGATGGAGGATGGAGGATGGAAGATGGAGGGATGAATGATGGAGGGACAGAGGACACGGGATGGAGGGATGGAGGAGGGAAGGATGGAGGATGGAGAGGGGGAAGATGATGGAGATCAGCCCCAGTCTTCTCTCTTCTTTACAGGGCGGCAAAGAGGAGCCAGAGATTTACGGAGCGATCATCCCCCATGTGAGAGACAGGGCCTGGCTCCCATCCCAGGAGGTTCAGCCCTGGGAGGGGAACGGAGAGGGAGGGATAGGGGACAGCAAGGGGGTGTCATAACTGCCCCCCCAAAGGCAGCACGAAAATACCCCAGTCCAATCTCCACACTGCTTTGCTGCAGGGTCTTCGAGGTCCCCCCGGTCCCCCCGGCCCCCCTGGAGCACCAGGTCTCCTCTACCTCAATGTAAGGCTGAGCGCGGGCTGTGCACACCCCTGTGCCAGAGCACACACATGTGTGAGCGTGCACAGCACGAGGGGCTCCCTGCAAACAGCCTGTCTTTTCTTCCAGAGGGTTTACCCGGTCCGTGCCCAGCCGCCCTGCAAGCAGCCGGTAAGTCATGGCCTCACTGTCCCCAAAAAAGACCCTGTCCCCTCCCGGTGCACCGGGAAGGGCACCCCTATGCCCGGTGCCAGTAACGGGCCCCACTTGCCTCCGCAGGGAGCCACCGACACAGGCTGGGCAGCAGGTAAGAGCATTTTTTTGGGCTGTTCCGGGGGCTCCAGCCTCCTCAGAAGCACCTTTTGTGAAGTCTCAGCTCCCTTCCTGGGTGCCACCCTCCACGGGTCCCCAGCACCGCAGCTGGCTCTCCCCCCTGGCTCCCACCACCTCCATGTCCCTGTGGGGCCAGCTCCAGCAGGAGCAGGTAGCCCCTGTGCCGGGGCACCTTGCAATCCCCCTCCTCTCTGGGGTCTCCAGATGCCAACATCCCTCGGACGGACCCGCCGGACTCCCGTGCCGATCTCCAGGTGAGTGCTGGCTGTGACAGCGGGTGACCCCCTCCCCAAGGCTGTCCAGCTGCCCCACAGCAGGTCCCTGAACCCCTCTGTCCCCCCCAGCGCCAGACGTGGGTCTTCAGGTCCAAGGAGCTGATGCTGAAGTCGGGCAGCGCCGTGCCCGAGGGGAGCCTGGTCTACGTGCGGGAAGGGAGCAGCGCCTTCCTCCGGACCCCCACGGGCTGGAGCCGCCTCCTGGTACTGTGCACCGGGGACACTCCTCGGGGTCCCACACAGAGAGGGGGATCCGGGCTCCCACCCTGGCAGGATTTGGTGCCGGGGCAGCAGAGCCCAGGGAGGAAGCCCGTTCCCCCCTAACCCATCCCTCTGCTCCTTGCGTTGAGCAGCTGGAGGATTCGGAGTCGCTCTTCGCTGGTGATGACCCCTCCATCTCCACCCCACAGTACCAGGTGAGGGCTGTGGGCAGCCACCAGCTCCCCTTACGTCCCAGCAAGGGGACAGAGCCCTTCTTTGCCTGCCAGGGGGGGGTGACAGCCCCCCACAGGACTGTCCTCTCCTCTCCATCCAGGAGGCGAAGCGGGTGCAGACGAGAGGTCCCAACACGGGGCCACCCTCGCTGGCCCCCACGGACTCGCTGGTGAGCGTTGCCCTGAGCCCCGCTGTGGGTCCAGCTGTGCCAGAGGGACGTGTCCCACGGAGATGGGCACACACAGAGCCTGGGGTCATGTTGGGATGGGGAGGGTGCTGCATCTGTGGCACCCATGGCACTGTGATGGGTGTCCCTGGGCTGACCAGACCCCACCTTATTCCAGGTCCAGAAGGAGGACGGACAAGAGCTGTCCCAGATCCTGCCAACCACCATCGCCCCACGGATCCCGTCAGTAAGCAATGCCTGGCCCTGGGGGTGGGAGACGGGTGGCCCAGCCTCAGGAGAGGGGGAAGAGGTGCCCTGGGTACCCCCCATGCCCAGCTGGCACCGCTGGAGTCTCACACCCTCCTGGGAAAGGGGGAGACCTCGGTGCCTGACCATGCCCAAGCCTCCCCCCGGCCATGTCTCCCCTCCCAGCTCCGCCTGGCAGCCCTGAACGTGCCCCTCACCGGTGACATGAGCGGGATCCGGGGTGCCGACCTCCAGTGCTACCGGCAGTCCCAGGAGGCTCGGCTCTACGGCACCTTCCGGGCGTTCCTGTCGGCCCCCAGCCAGGACCTGGTCTCCATCGTCAAGAGGACAGACAGGACCCTCCCCATTGTCAACCTGAAGGCAGGTACCCCCGTCCCCGTGGGGGCTGCTGGTGGCAAAGCCCCACAGCTCCTGGTGAGCCTGGGTGGGGGGAACCTTGCCCGGTCCCACACTGGGGCAGCTGTACCCCATCTCTGTTTTGGGGCGCCAGGAGGAACCCAGAGCAAGTTATTGCCCACGTGTGCTCAGGACAAGGGCATCACCTCGTCCCCTGGCTCAGTGCCACCACTTGTCCCCACAGGGCCAGCTGCTGGCCAAGTCCTGGAGCTCCTTCTTTGAGGGCCAGGCTGGTGCCACCCTCCGGGGACCCATCTACTCCTTCAACGGGCGCAACATCCTGACAGATCCCCTTTGGTGAGTCCAGCCACGGGGTGGGCACCGGCAGGGCATCCCCTGACCAATGCACCCACACTGGGAACCAGGCTGGGGGGGCTGCAGTGGGTGTCCGTCCCCCCCACACACCCTTGGTGTCTGCACGGATGCAGGAGCTGGTGCCAAGGTGCCCCCCGAGGGTGTCCCCCAGCCCCTTTTCACCCGCATCCTCCTCCACAGGCCCCACCAGCTGGCCTGGCATGGATCCACGCCGCGAGGTAGCCAAGCCAGAAGGAGGGATTGCCAGGGCTGGCGCAGCTCTGGCACCGGGGAGGGCATGGCTGCCCCCCTGGGTCAGGGCCGGCTGCTGGCCGGGCAGCGACACAACTGCTCCCAGGAGCTGGTGGTGCTCTGCGTGGAGGTGGCCTTTCCCTACCGGCACATGTGGTGACCCCGGCACCGGTGACACCCAGCCACACATCCCAGGGACCAGGGGAAAAACCCCCATGGGCAACCAGGGGGAGAATGGCAGCGCCAGAGCCGTGCAAGAGCAGCGAGAGGATGCCAGGCCCACCGCCGGGCTGTGCCATGCCCATCCTCGGCTGTGCCATCCCCGGTGGTGGCAGGGTGATGCCAGGCTGTGCCCAGCCACCTCCCTGCAGCTCCAGCGAAGGGAGTGCTGTCACTGCCCTGGAAATAAAGACACAAACCAGTTGGTGTTTTGGGTGACGTTCCGTTATGGGGGGGGACACCTACCCAGGACATCACCGGCTGCAGTGAGGGGCAGGGGGGGACACGCTGCAGCCAGCCCAGGGGATGGGGAGAGGGTCTGGAGCCACCCGTGGGCTTCATCCCCGATGGGATCAGCACAAATCGGGGCGGGGGGGGCAGGTAGGAGAAGGGGGGACACCACAGGGACGGTGATGTCACCGGGTTCCATTTCCAGTAACGGTCGGTGTCACCGGGCGCTGGGTCGGCGGATCAACCTCTCCCAGGGCACGGGCAGCGGGGTCTGCCCACCCGGAGCAGCGGACGGAGACAGGATGGGCAGAACCGGGCAGCGGAGGAGCTGGCAGGTCGGGGGACGCGGGCAGGACTGGGATGGCACCCGGTGGCAGCCACCGGCTGGGGGCTTGGGGTGGGCACCCGGGGGAGAGTGAGGGGGGTGACACCAGGGCTGGGGCCTGAAGAGACTCAGGCTGTGCCCCTGCATCGGGGGTGGCACCAGGGCTGGGGCCTGAAGAGACTCAGGCTGTGCCCCTGCATCCCAGTATGTCCCCAGGACCTGCCCAGTGGGTCCCAGCAGGTTGTCTCGACCTACCCAGTAGGTCCCAGTATCACCAGGATCTGCCCAGTGGGTCCCAGTGTCCCCAGGATCTGCCCAGCAGGTCCCAGCGTGTCCCCTGGACCTGCCCAGTGGCTCTCAGTGTCCCCAGGGCCAGCTCAGTAAATCCCAGTGTGTCCCCAGGACCTGCCCAGTGGGTCCCAGTATCACCAGGACCTGCCCAGTGGCTCCCAGTGTCCCCAGGGCCAGCCCAGTGAGTCCCAGCGTGTCCCCAGGACCTGCCCACTACGGCCCAGTGTGACATAAGGGCCAGCCCAGAGGGTCCCCAGGTCCCTTGGTCCCTGCGTGTCCCCCATACGCTGCCCAGTGTGTCCCAGTGTCACCCCGTGGGCTCCCCAGTATGTCCCAGTACATCACACCGCTAACGGCACCGGAGGAGGCGGAGGGCCCCCCACCCCGCACAATGCCCTCCTCTTCGCTTTTCTATTGGCTGATAGCGCTGTCCGTCGCGCAACTCTCCCTTCTGAGTGGCTGGTTTGAATGCGCGGAGCGCCTTGTGACTGGCGGGAGCGAAGAGGGGGGCGCGACGCGTGGCCCCGCCCTCCCGCTGCGATTGGCGGCGCGCTGGGAGCCCGCGGGCGGTGATTGGCAGAAGCTCAACGTAGGGCAACTAAGATAATTAAGGAATTGGAGCATTTCCCTTACGAGGAAAGGCTCAAAGAGCTGGGGCTCTTTAGCCTGGAGAGGAGAAGGCGAAAGGCGCCGGGCGGTTGGGGCCGCCATTGCCTCCGCTCAGTAGCGTCCGCCGCTGCCGCCATGGAGCTCCAGGAGTCCTCGTCGCCTCTCCGCGTGCGTGCCACCCTCTCCTGCCCCGCACACCGCGATCCCCTGTCCCCGCCGGGCTTCGGGATCCCCGCGGCCCGGGCCTCCCTCAGCCGCCGCCGGGCCTCCCTCAGCCCCCGACCGGCCTCCCCTCGCGGCCTCTTCCCCCAGTGCCGCCCCGTCCCCTCCGCGGCCCGGGCCTCCCTCAGCCGCTGCCGGGCCTCCCTCAGAGGTCATGGAGTCCCCTTCTCTGGAGATCTTCAAGACCTGCCTTGATGCCATCCTGAGTGATGTGCTCTGGCCAACCCTGCTTTGGCAGGGGAGTTGGACAGGCCTGCTCCCCCTCACTGCCGCCGTCTCCCCCCTGTGCAGCCCGCCAACGAGAACGTCCGGCTGCCCAAGGGCGATGGCAGCAAGAAGGGGATGTCGGTGGAGCACATCTACCAGAAGAAGACGCAGCTGGAGCACATCCTGCTCCGGCCCGACACCTACATCGGCTCCGTGGAGCTGGTCACCCAGGTGCGGGGGGGTCCGGGGCAGGGCGGGGGGGTCGTGGGGTGAAGCCTGAGCTCCTTGCTCCAGCTCTGGGGTCTCCAGTTCAAGAGAGATGGGGAACTACTGGAGAAAGCTCAACGTAGGGCAACTAAGATAATTAAGGAATTGGAGCATTTCCCTTACGAGGAAAGGCTCAAAGAGCTGGGGCTCTTTAGCCTGGAGAGGAGAAGGCTGAGGGGAGACCTCATCTATGTTTACAAGTACCTAAGGGAGGGCTGAAGGAGGATGGAGCTGGACTCTTTTAGTGGTTTCCAGCAATAGGACGAGGGGCAATGGGCACAAGATGAAACATGGGAAGTTCCATTCGAATATGAGGAAGAATTTCTTTGGGGTGAGGGTGGCAGAGCCCTGGAAGAGGCTGCCCAGGGAGAGTGTGGAGTCCCCTTCTCTGGAGATCTTCAAGCCCCACTGGGATGCCATCCTGAGTGATGTGCTCTGGCCAACCCTGCTTTGGCAGGGGAGTTGGACCAGATGATCTCTAGAGGTCCCTTCCAACTCCAACAATTCTGTGGTGCAGACGAGAAGTCATTAACATCTGTCTGTAAAGCCCAAACATCTGCTTTACAAACTGATGGCCCCAAAGAGGAGGGCGGACCTGGGGACTTACGTATTTCTTGCCTTCTTTTCAGCAAATGTGGGTTTTTGATGAGGGCGTGGGCCTTAACTGCAGAGATGTGACCTTTGTGCCTGGCTTATACAAAATCTTCGATGAGATTCTAGGTAAGGTGACCTGTCTGTTAAGTCAGAGACTGACGAGTTAATAATGGGTGCTGAATGTCTGAGAAACTGGAATTAAATGCATGAACTTATCAAGTGTACTTTTATCTGGTTGCATTGTTGACCGAGTAATGTCTGTTGCAAATTGTCTATAATTTGATGGATGGTGTTCCCTGAATACATTGTTGATTGTGCTTGGAATTATTAGATACTAATGTCCTTCCATTAGTGCTACTGAATAGTAAGCCTTTCATGGGATGATGGTGTGCTCTATTACAAACCCAATTTAGTTCAGCACAAAATTCTGTGTTAACTTGCAGTACTCCTCTTTGTGACTTGCAAAACATTTGCATACCGAGATGATTATTAGTAAGATTGTATTGAATTTTTGCATTCATTCATTATAGTTAATAGTTTGGTCTTGATTGAGAATGTAATACAATAACAATAATCTTTCCCTTCTAGTCAATGCCGCAGACAACAAGCAGAGGGACAAAAGCATGTCGTGCATTAAAGTTACAATTGATGTGTAAGTTTTATTTCACTTCTGGTTCATTGTCTTCCCGACTCGGGAGAGGTAGATCTTCTCTCTGGGGTGCAGTTCTGCCGGGCTGGTGTGGTGTTGGAGGGCTGTGCCACGTGGCTGGTCTGAATGAGACCAAAAATAATTCACTGGTTGTGAAAGGCTTTTCCTTTGTTTGGTCCTTGGGTGGGTTACTGAGTGCTGACTGCTGAAAGGACTGCCCATTGTTGTTTTCCGTTGTGGCTGGTTTCCTCCTCTTCCTCTCAACGCTTTTATTCTGTCACTGAGTGTGGATAGAGGATTTTCATGTCTGGTGGCCCTTTCCTAGATGGTATCTGGAGATCTGAGAATTTTTTGGTTGACTTGTCCTCCCTCTGCTGGCTGTTTCTGCACTTGCTGAGCAGAGATTCGCTCTTGATGAAATGGTGGCCTTTCCCTAGAGTTTTTGTATAATACTTGTTTCACAGCACAGACATTTGCAGCCTCAAAAACACATTTATTTATTTTTTTTTCCCCTAGAGAGAATAACACAATCAGTGTATGGAACAATGGGAAAGGTATCCCAGTTGTTGAACACAAAGTGGAGAAGGTCTATGTGCCTGCTCTTATCTTTGGACAGCTACTAACATCCAGCAACTACGATGACAACGAAAAGAAAGTCACAGGTAGGGAAGACTCTCAAATATGCGCAAATATTTGAGCAGCCTGATCAGTTCAAATGTGTGAGCTGATCTAAAGGAGTGGGGATGCAACATGAAAACAATATTTTTAACTCCTGTTAGTCTGGAATTCTTTTAGATGGTTTTGAACAAAGGTAATAACAAAAATCTGTTCCTTCTAATTCCAGGTGGGCGAAATGGTTACGGAGCCAAACTGTGCAACATATTTAGCAAAAAATTTACTGTTGAAACTGCATCTCGTGAATACAAAAAGTTATTCAAGCAGGTATGAGCACTCCTCGTTTCAGTAAGGTTATACCTGAGATTTTCAAATAAAGACCTTAAGTTTTCATTCCAAAAATCTAGGCGTAACCTGCATTCAGTGCACAGTGCTTGGAAGAAATTTGGCCCACAGTTGCTGTATGACCAGATATCATTCAAATGAATAATGAAATGAGCAGACATAATCAGAATCTAGCTTTTAGCCAGTGGGGTTTTTTTGATTTGAAAATATTTAAAGCTTGTAAATTAGCTTCCTGCTTTTAAAAACTAAGCTGGTGTGCATACGTATTAGATTTGCAACTCACAAATCCTCCTTTTCTCAGACCTGGACAGATAACATGGGAAAGGCCGGTGAAATGAAGCTGATGTATTTTGATGGAGAAGATTACACGTGTGTCACTTTCCAACCTGATCTGTCAAAATTCAAAATGACAATTCTTGACAAAGACATTGTCGCACTAATGTCTCGAAGAGCGTATGATATTGCTGGATCCACAAAGGATGTCAAAGTTTTCCTAAATGGACAGAGGCTCCCTGTAAGTAAGCATTTAAAAGAAATGGTAATCTCTGTGTTTCTCCTGCTGTTTCAACAGTGAGATTTTGTTGAAGCCGTTTTCGTCGTTACACATAGTAAAGGGAAAAATTTGCACGAGTGATTTCTCTACCCACTTTTCAGGAGGATACGAATTAAGTATTTATAGGAGCTGTTGTAGCTGAGCTGTCTGCTTTCATCCGTGTGCAGGTCAAAGGATTCCGCAGTTATGTGGACCTCTATCTGAAGGACAAAGTCGATGAAACTGGGAATGCACTTAAGGTTATCCATGAGGAAGTAAATTCTCGGTGGGAAGTGTGTTTGACTTCAAGTGAAAAAGGCTTCCAGCAAGTCAGCTTTGTCAACAGCATTGCCACTACAAAGGTAACTTCTGCAGTTTATGTAGTCAAGCTAATGCCATATTCTTCATCATCTGGTTTCAAATGTGTGTATGTTAGTGAAAACCACTTAATTTTGCAAAGACTGTGCTTAAAGTTTTACATAGATATGCATCCTTGGATTTTTTTCAATGGAATGACCCCCATGTCTCTGGTCCCATTCTCCGCAGGGTGGCAGGCACGTTGATTATGTAGCTGACCAGGTTGTGACTAAAATCATTGATGTTGTGAAAAAGAAGAACAAAAATGGAGTTGCAGTGAAGCCTTTTCAGGTACAAAGTCAGAATTTCCCCAGCAGGAAACACAACTCTAGCATTATTGCACATTGTATCTACAATAGCAGATTAATTAACGATACCTATTTCCATTATAGACACAATATATATAAAATTGCACATTCTAAAAGTCTCATATTGTCCAGTTTCAGCCAACTAACAATCTCTCTGTTTGACTGGTGTATTTTGTGGTCAGAACACTGTAAGTCAGTGTAGATGCACTAAAACTCAGTATTTGTCAGACAATGCATGTTTAGGTTGAGTGCTATGATTCCTTGACAACCCAAATCGTATCACATTTGTCATGAATGTTCAGTAGTTGTTCTAAATTCTCCCAAGACACTTAGGAAAATTGAGAAACATACAGTGATTATTGAGATTTTCCTCGGTGTGTGATTCTGACAGGCAGATGTCAGAGCACACTGCTGTTAGTGAGACAAGCCTGTGTAACCTGTGATTTTTGTTGTGTTTAACTCCAGGTGAAGAATCACATGTGGATTTTCATTAATTCCTTAATTGAAAACCCAACCTTTGACTCTCAGACGAAGGAGAACATGACTCTGCAGGCAAAGAACTTCGGCTCAACCTGTAAACTGAGTGAAAAATTTATTAAGGGTGTAAGTATTGATGTACGGGGATAATCCAGGTGTCTGTAAAACTGCATCTTATGTTTAATGTGGCAAATACATACTTTTGAAGGAATGTAATGAACTACAGAAAAAGCACGTGAGTTAGAATTCATTGTTAAGGCTTTTCCCACAATTGTTGGGTTATTTTTGTGTTGCAGGCAGTTGGCTGTGGCATTGTTGAAAGTATCCTAAACTGGGTAAAATTTAAAGCTCAGAGCCAGCTGAATAAGAAATGTTCAGCAGTGAAACACACCAAGATTAAGGGTGTTCCTAAGCTGGATGATGCCAATGATGCTGGTAAGTTGGTTCCACCTTTGTAAGCAGTTCATTCAAAAAGATAAAACTTGTTTTTTGGAGAAATGATAGAATTGTCTCCTAAAGATAATGAGAAAGCCTGTAATTATAATTCATCCCCATTTTACAGTCTCATTTACTATGTTTATCCCCATTTACTATGGGCAGTGAGCAAAACCTGTATGCATTAGAAGATATTTATTCTCATTCGATTTTGTGAGTATGCAGGCTTTAATTTCGCTTCTTAATTAGAAAATTGACTTGATTATTATTTTATTTTTTTTTTTTAGGCAGCAAGAATTCTTTAGATTGTACACTTATCCTGACCGAGGGAGACTCAGCCAAAACACTGGCTGTCTCTGGTCTAGGAGTGGTTGGAAGAGACAAATACGGAGTATTTCCCCTTCGTGGGAAAATGCTCAACGTCCGAGAAGCTTCTCATAAGCAGGTTAGTTGGAAAATTGTTATATTCTAGATGTTAAAACAGTGTGGTTTGTGTCATGCAGTGTTTTAACCGCCTCAGTGAGGCCGAATGCCTGGAACACTGCAACTCACAGGAGTTTCTAAACAGCAAAACAACACTGCCCAAGACAAAGCTCAGCCAATGCTATACTTATGGGTAATTTTAGACTTTATTGAGCTACTGACAAGTTTTTATTCCGTGTCATCTTTTCCAGATTATGGAAAACGCTGAAATTCAATGCTATACTTACGGGTAATTTTAGACTTTTATTGAGCTACGTTTTAAGTCTGAAAGACAAGTTTTTATTCTGTGTGATCTTTTCCAGATTATGGAAAACGCTGAAATCAACAACATCATCAAGATTGTGGGTTTGCAATATAAGAAGAACTATGAAGATCAAGAATCTTTAAAGACTCTTCGCTATGGAAAGATTATGATTATGACAGATCAGGTTAGGTTCACAAAAACTAGAAATATTACCTTTCTATTGTTGTATCTAACTGTCTGTATTCCTTTCTTTTTATCATTCTGTATTAGTGGGTCATAATGTCTTTTCAGCCACAAAACAAGCAGATGGGGGGGAATAGCATTACCAAATAACTAAATACTGTCTTTCCAGTCGGCTGATTCAGGGTCCTTGACCAGTCCTTGATCCCTTTTTTCACCAAGAATGTGCCTTTCCTGTTTCTCTTACTTTTCAGTAATTAAACAAGGCGTGGTCGCAGTGGAAGTTAACAGGGTCAGTTAGCTGGAATTACAGAATTGTTTGCTATGAAGCTGACAATTGTCCATTCCATCATGTCCCTGATTAAATATGCCTTTTTTTTCTTTTCAAATCAGGATCAAGATGGATCCCATATCAAAGGTTTGCTGATTAACTTCATCCATCACAACTGGCCGTCTCTTCTAAGACACAACTTTTTGGAGGAATTTATTACTCCCATCATAAAGGTAGGGCTTGGGGAGGTGGTAAGGATGAGGAAGGATCCATTGCTCCAAATCTGCCTCTCATTTCACAGGTAAAATATTTGTTCGTTGTAGGCTTCTAAAAATAAAGAAGAAATTGCATTCTACAGCATCCCTGAATTTGAAGAGTGGAAAAACAGTACACAGAACTACAATTCGTGGAAAATCAAGTACTATAAAGGTTTGTAGAAACTGAAATATGCTGAAATTAAATGATCCAAGTATGAGCATTCCCAGTTCATTCAGTCAGTCCTGCTTCTGCAGAAAGGGTGTCTCCTCCAAGTCCTTTCCCTCCTAAGATACTTTGATTACAAATACATGGGACATAAAATACAGAAGTAAGGACACAATAGCCTCTAAATGGATCAAATCTCAATCAAATCTCCCCAGAAAGAACTAGGTAACCATTCTTTCAGCCCTCTTAGACAATTATGCTCAGTTTTCTGTGCTATTTTCCTTGTGTACTGTTAGCACTGGGAGCTAAGTCCTTACTCCAGAACTGCTTAGTAGAAAGGTGCCAATTGCAGAACCATGGCTGGATGATGAGGAATCATTTCCAACTTGCAATTAGTCATTTTAGGTATCTACAGGGGTTAAAGACAAATCCAAAAGTACCATATGCACCTGCTCACTCCTCTGTAATTCTTACAATTTTTGTGATACTTCAAAATGAGTTGGAAGGTAACCTAAGTTTTCAGTAAGTCGTCTTCACGCTGGACATTTATATCACAGGAACTGGGCATAGCAAAACATCTCTTTGAACTGCAACTTAATTTAAGCAAGAAGTGATAAGGATTAACTAGTCCTGTCTCTGCAGGTCTGGGTACCAGCACATCGAAGGAGGCTAAGGAATACTTTGCAGATATGGCTAAACACCGAATTGGCTTCAAATATTCCGGTCCTGAAGATGATGCTGCGATCACCCTGGTAACTAACACTTGATTTAATTGCTGACTTACTACCTTTGCTATTCTACTGCTTAGAGTGCTGTGTATTTTCTCTTAAAATGCTCTTAAAAGCCTTTGGGCTTGAGACAGTCTCTTTGTTACCAAGGCTACGGCTTTAGTCTAACCAGTAGAAGCAAATCTGTCCCCGGACCTCAGGCCAAGAGTACCCTTTTAATGATGGTTTTTAAATATAGCTCAGAACAAACTAATCACGACAAACCAATTGACATTTTCAGACACAATAGTAAATATTCTTTTACCATTTTTCTGCATGTTCTGCTGCAATTTTCTCAGAGTCTTCCCTTCCCTTTCTCCCCCAGATTTTCTTCTTGCAGAATGGTTCACCAGTGGATTAACACAGTCCTCCTTTCTGTGAACTTCTTCACCTTCAGCAGACATTAACTTTTAAATTCTGAGCTATTAGGCGATGCCAACAAACCAAGTTTTTCCCCAAAAATATTAATTTCCCCCCCAAATCTGCTTTAGTTTTCTGTTACAATGTTCAAAATCCATACCTTTGAACCTAACTATCAAGTTTGCTAAAGACTGGTGTAAATTATGTTCTTAATATATTTAGCTAAAATAACCTTTTATTGCACTTCTTGGGCTATGAAGTCAACCAGTTTAGCATGGTGTTCTCCTGGGTGCTCTTCCTGGGTGCTTGCTTCTTCTCTAGTGGTCCAGTTGGGCACACCACAGAACCTCCTACAACTGAGTTGCTCTTCATTTTGTACCATACAGGCCTTTAGCAAGAAGAAGGTAGAAGAGCGAAAGGAGTGGCTGACTAATTTCATGGAGGACAGAAGACAAAGGAAGCTGCATGGTCTGCCAGAGGTAAAAGGTTTACGTAGATGAAGGAAACTGGTTTCCTGTCTGGGGAACTGGTTTCCCTGGGGCTACTCACTGCTCCGAGTCCCTGCACACGGGACAGTGCAAATGTTTCAGGATTTTGCAGAGAAGCTTCTTCTCTCATGACCATACCCTCTTTGTCAGTTGTCCAATAATTAATTTCATTTTTCACTCTTATCTTTCAAATTACTTCATCAATAGGGAAATGATAACTTGATCAGGGCTGTATGGAGGCACTATTTCTCAAAAAAATGATATTTTGCTATAGCACACTATGAATGTCAGCATTTGAACCGTGTTTAACTAGTCTTACAAGGAGCTTCCATTTCAGTGAAACTAGCCAAGTATGAGCTAAAAACCAGATTACTCCCTGTTAAAATTAAGACAATCTTGCACCTGTTTTTCTTAGGAATACCTATATGGGAAAAATACTAATTACCTGACGTACAATGACTTCATCAACAAGGAGTTAGTGCTGTTCTCCAACTCAGATAACGAAAGATCGATCCCGTCACTGGTTGATGGTAAGTGATTTCAAGGTAGTGACTCCACATAGTGCATTCTTCAGAACTTAATAAGTGGGTGTTTTATGTCACATCATCAGAATCGGGGAACCTGGCAAGTTTTCAGGATCAGAATTCAGAAATCTGTTTTCTGCTGTCCAGGGTTTTTAATCCTTGGATTAAATGTCTTGTTCATTTTGTAGCATATTATTGCAAGTACCTTACTCCTGGTGCAGATTCTTTAGGTGAATAAGTAGTTCTTTGTCTCTAGAGAGCAGAAGGTGAAACACATAGTACGTTAAAATCACAAGGTCTTTTTTTGTTGTTTTTTTTTTTATACAGGTTTGAAGCCAGGTCAAAGAAAAGTTCTGTTCACGTGTTTCAAACGGAACGATAAGCGGGAGGTGAAGGTTGCTCAGTTGGCTGGTTCTGTAGCAGAGATGTCCTCATACCATCATGGTGAAGTAAGGACCTGGCCCAGTTGTACAAAATGCTTTTTAAATGAAAGGCAAAAAAGCCCTTCTCTTGACTTGACAGTTAAGATGCCTCTAAAGCACAATTAAATGTTTGAGTATGCAGAACAAGAAAAATCAGCTTTACTTGTGGCAGATTTAGGCAGATGTTACTGGCCTTTCTGCCTTGGGGAGGAGAAGTTAAGCCCTCTCATATATCACATGATATATCCATATCATATGGACATCACATATCCATATCCGTGCTCTTCTTGGTGTGAAGTTTGCCTTTAGTTTTGTCCATTTAGGGAAGAATTCTGCATTTTGAGCTTTGAACCTTCCTTTGTTGCAGACGTCGCTGATGATGACCATTATCAACTTAGCTCAGAACTTTGTGGGCAGCAACAACCTCAACCTGCTGCAGCCCATCGGGCAGTTTGGCACCAGGCTGCATGGTGGGAAGGACTCTGCCAGCCCTCGATACATTTTCACAATGCTCAGGTCAGCATCAAAGATTTCTTACTCTCTTAAATATCCTTGGCATCTTACTGGACTCAATACTTCTGTGGGGTTTTTGTTTTTGGGGTTGGAGGGGAGGTTCTGCATGGTGGTCACTGTTCTGTAACAAGAATTTGGGCTTAAATTCTCTTTTCTATTCTAGCCCACTAGCCCGGCTGCTGTTCCCAACAATGGATGACAACATCCTGAGGTTCCTGTATGATGACAATCAGCGTGTGGAGCCAGAATGGTATATGCCCATCATCCCAATGGTGCTCATCAACGGGGCAGAAGGGATTGGTACTGGCTGGTCCTGTAAGATCCCCAACTTTGATGTCAGGGAAGTTGTGAATAATATCCGTCGTCTGATGGATGGAGAAGAGCCATTGCCAATGGTAAATAATGTATTTTAAAAACAATGTCTCGCTCCTTAGTTTATTCAGCACATATTTCATGCAAGTGCTTAAAACCAGAAGCATCAGCATAAAGCTGAATCAGGTGTTCTTTTCTGTTTAGATTCCAAGTTATAAGAATTTCAAAGGCACGATAGATGAGCTGGGACCTAATCAGTATGTGATAAGTGGGGAAGTGTCTATCCTTGATTCTACAACCATTGAGATCACTGAGCTGCCTGTCAGAACATGGACACAGGTAATAAGCAGTGAATTTGCCCTGGGAATGTATGGTTTGCCCTATAAAGCAAAATGTGATTGGTGGGTTTTGGAGCTTTTCCTCTCCATGGGTCTGAATTTGAATCTTTTCTCAGACTTATAAAGAGCAAGTTCTGGAGCCGATGTTAAATGGGACTGAGAAGACACCCCCACTGATCACAGACTATAAGGAATATCACACAGACACCACAGTGAAGTTTGTAGTGAAGATGACTGAAGAAAAACTAGCTGAAGCGAATGCAGCGGGGCTCCATAAGGTCTTCAAACTCCAAACAAATTTAACGTGCAACTCCATGGTATGTAATAGGTTTTGCCAAATACAGTTCTGGGTTTAACTCAGAGGCTGTGGGCAGCTGCAGTCTCTGCCTGTAACAAATACTCTTTTGCAGCAACCTATTCACTTTGATTTTTCTGCTGTTACTGGTTTTAAATCAGCTTTCTAAATATACCTTCAAAAGGTCAAGAGACTGGCTTGGGAATGGGCCCAGAGTGGTTTGGTTTTGCCTGAAGGAGTCAGAGTGATCTGAAATCACACAGTTCACACAGACCTTTGTTGTGACAACAGCACGGCCATTGAATGGCTGGATTTTGACAATGTGTGAAGCTGGATGCGAGATGTTTATCCCACAGATAGCTTTAAGATTCAGGATACCTTTACCCTACTGTGTGTTTTCAAGAACTTTGAAATTGTAAAATTGTCTCTGGGGCTGTGCTTGCAAACTGTAGCCATTTCTAAAACAGTGCTAAGGTTTTATAATTTGTTGGTTAATAATTCAGCTGTACTATCACAGCTGTGTTAGAGGTGATTTTCGGTGGGTTTGGAAACGGGTTTTATCATCATTAACGCCCGCGTTCTTTCATCTAGGTTCTTTTTGACCACGTTGGCTTTCTCAAGAAGTACGACTCTCCCCAGGATATTCTTAAAGAGTTCTTTGAACTCAGGCTCCGATACTACAGTTTGAGAAAAGAATGGCTTATTGGAATGTTAAGTGCCGAGTCCGCGAAGCTGAGCAACCAGGCTCGTTTCATCCTGGAGAAAATAGATGGCAAAATCGTCATCGGTATGTGTTGTTCTTGGTTACTTGCTTTATGAAACTGGGAGAAGGACCAGGTGCTGCTGTGAGCTCTGTCAGCACCCCCTCAGCCCCAGACTGGCTCTTAACAAACTACACCAGAGCTTATCTTTCTGTTCCAGTAATGTATGGCAGCAAAATGCTTCACGGAGTACCCTTGGTCTACAGAGCATTATGCATATGTTAATTAAAAACAAGAGACTCGTGCAGCTTCCCTACTGTGCGTTTGACACTGTTTTGAGAGTAGAAATATTCTTTAATAGTTTAGGAATAATTCCTATCTATTTCTGTCTCGGTAGGAACAAAAGTTAAGTGCTTGGTGGGGTTGGAAAGGGGCAGTGTTTTCTATCTAAATGCAGCCTTCTTAAGAACCCATCTCTCTTCTGTGTTATCTCTGTGAACCTCTGCAAAAATATTCCAAATCCTCTTCTCAGTGGGTTGGGGTTTCAGACTAGGAAGGCACTCACGTTAGCAGCATCTGAGCATCATGAGCTAGAAAAAGAAACAGGTCTTTGTTCCCAGCACTCAAATTTTTCAATCAACTTTTCCACCTCCATCTAAAAGGCCGTCTGTATCTCACTTGCATTCCTGGAGGATGCAGCTGGACAAAGTGTCATAAGATGCTTTGTGGTTTGTGTTTGAAGGCGGCCCAGTAATCCCACTAGCCTGGGTCTGTTTGACTTGACTTGGGAAGAGAAATAATTCCCTTGAAATGCATTTTCTTGGCTTTTTGTAATAAGCAGTTCCAAGGCCGACAGAGCTGGTTTCATTTGTATTTGTGTCTCATGGTTGATTGCTTCTGATATCTTAAAAAGGAACAAATTCCAGCTGAAGCATTTCCATTGGTTGGGCACTTAGAGCATAAATGTCCCAGGTGATGCTAATGAGGTGTGGGCTACACCAAAGCCTTTGAGTGCTATCAGGGTGGTTTTTTCCCTCCACCTGCCTGCCCATTATCCTGAAACCTTTTTAATACCATCACACCTCTTTTCCCAAGTTCAAAAACTAGGGCAGGGGAAACAGATACATGGAAATGAGAAAGAAAAATATTTGCAGTGCTCTGGGAGGTGGCCCTGACAGGTACAGGAGCACTGCTGACCTGACAGATCACCCACAAAGTAGGAACTTGTCAGGTGGTGTTTCAGGCTCTTCCACAAGTCCCACCTCTGATGAGGAAAGGCTGGTTTAGAGCCCAGTAGGATGTCGAGCTGCTAGAACCACAGAAATCAAAATGTAAAGCTTATCTGTCTTTCCTAACAGCAATGGGTAGTGGTCACTAACTGACAATCCTGAAATGTCTGTTCACAGAAAACAAACCCAAGAAAGAGTTGATTCAGGTTCTTATCCAGAGGGGGTATGAATCTGATCCAGTGAAGGCTTGGAAGGAATCGCAAAACAAGGTAATGCTTCAGTCATCCTCTCTGAACAGACCTGAACTGGGCCCTGTCTCTGAAGCTCCATAATCCATAGGGAGCAGCACAAGTTGCTTCTCAATTTGTAGGATTCAAGCACTTGTGTATCTGAGATAGGAACCCTAAGACAAGCAAAAACTCAGTCTCTTGTTCAGAAGACAATGAGACAGAGTTGTTCGGGTTTGAGTCTGTCGGGCCAAGTCCCCGTCACAGCAATTTCTGCTCTTCCTTAAGGGTGTCCTTCCTCCCGTGGGACACAGTGGTGGAAGGGCTGTGAGGAAGATGAGTGTTAAGTAGCCTGAGGAGAGAATCTGGACCATCAAGACGGAGAGGCCATACAGAGTAGAGCGAAAGAGATTTGGAGAATTGTTTTTGCAGATGGATTCCTCTGTGCGATAACGTCTGGGGCTTTAAGCTGGGTAACTTCATCATTTCTGAACTGTTCTAGAAGAGCCTGGGACACAGAGGCACATGGAGCACTGTCCAGATGTGATCAATAGCCCTGGCGTTGTGTGTCAATATATTTGTTGACAAGGTCTGTTTTAAATCTACATCCAGGAAGAAGAAGAGGAGGAGGAGGAGGAGGAGAGTGAGAGAGAATCAGCTGCAGCTAAAGGACCAGACTTCAACTATCTGCTGAACATGCCCCTGTGGTATCTGACTAAAGAGAAGAAAGATGAACTCTGTAAGCAGAGAGATAACAAAGTATGTTCCTTCCTTTTCTTATAAAAGCATTGGTATATAATATATATATTTTTTTTTTTTAATGGTGGATTAAAATATGTGACTAACGCTTATCAACTGCTTCCCTTTAGGAAGCGGAGCTGGAAAGCCTGAAGCGCAAGAGTCCCTCTGACCTGTGGAAGGAAGACCTGGCCGTCTTTGTTGAAGAACTTGATGTAGGTCAATGTTGGTGCAGAAGGCTGACAGCCTCGTAGTCATACCCACCAGCACGTCATTGACTTTTTTTGTCACAACAAGGAAACTAAAAATGATAACTCTTCTATCTTGCACTCATCAAGGAGAACAAGAGCTTTCTTTGTCTTCCTGCCCTGGGCTGGAGTAGAGCTGCTTTGGGCCAGGGAATCACAACACCAAGGTGGCCATTGGGAAGTGGTCCATGACCAGTCTTAGTAGAGAAGAGGAGTTTTAGGAGGGCTTGGAGCAAGCACAGAGTGCTGTAGTGCAAGGGCTGTGATGGAGAGGTGTTCTCAGTAGTAGGTTTTCTTTTGTCTTCTCATGGTTGTATCCTTTTCCGCTCACCTCTGCAGGCAGTGGAAGCCAAGCAAGCTCAGGATGAGCTGGCAGGGATTGTTGGGAAACCTCTGAAGGGGGTGAAAGGAGGGAAGGTGAAGGTGAAGAAGGCACAGCTGCCAGAAGTAATGCCATCCCCCCACGGCATCAGGGTGGTTCCTCGGATAACTGCAGAGATGAAGGCAGAGGCGGAGAAGAGATCGAAAAAGAAAATAAAGGTAAAAAGGAACATTCCAAATGCTTAATCTGTCTTTACACTCTCCTTAATGCAGTCTGAAAGAAATGCGAGTTCTTGTTGGCTGAACTGGGCCCGATGAAGCAGCTGTTGAGGGAGAGGGATGGAATCTCAGGACATGGGGAACCCTGGAAATGGTTGTTTGTCAGTCAAAAGGAGAACAGATTCCCTGACGTATCAGGAGATGGCTTAGAGGGAAATCTTTTGACAAGAGCATATATCACAGTGTCAGAGATGGGCTGGTAGCTTAGAAATGAAAAAAGCAGATGCAAGTAAGGCTGTTCTAGGTGTCTTGGGGATTTTATGAATCCTCCAGCGGGCAGGAGGTACAGCTGGTAAATTCACTCCTCTAGAACAGCCTTTGCATTTCTGGTAATGCTTTCAGCCACTTCATGCCATTATTGTTCTCAATATCGAGGAGATAAAGAAGATTTAACTCTTTTTATAGGGCTAGTTGAAATTATGCCATTCAGCCATTGGCAGCCTAGGAAAAAATCTCCCCTCACCTGCTTTGACCTGTGAGAGACACACTGCTCCTCTCCTCCAGCTGGTTCCAGCTAACAGTTTTTCCAAATAACTTGCACTGTTGTTTTTATCCCACCCTGTTGAGTTCTGCATCCTCAACACGCCCCGGAGCCGTACCATCAGCACAGGGAGGCTGTACCAAAGAGCTCTCAGCAGTGGGGACAAAAGTTCCTGTTTTTGTTAATGTTGGATTTTTGCATTTTAAGTCACCTGATGTGGGGATGGATCCTGTCTGATGGACTTGGCCGTCATCAATTTTACAGGCAGTTTGTGTCACAAGTTCAGATTCTTGTCCCAATAACTTTTACACATCTTGAATAAGCAGCTCCTTTCTACATCACTCTGTGCCTCTTCTGGTGGAGTGAGCAGATTTACCATCCTCTCTGTATCTGCTTGTCCCTTCAGAGCGAAAAAAATGAATTTGATGAGAATCAAGAAGAAAACGCATCAGGAGACAAAGAACCTTCAGGCCTTAAGCAGAGATTAGCAAAGAAACGTAATGCTGAGCAAGGTAAATGCTTTTCTGTGTTATTCCATCAATGGAAAGGGAGGGGAAGGGCTGTAAATTTGGTTATCTGACCTCTTCCTGAAGTGATGAGTAACATGGAGGATCAGTATTTTTGGAAAAACTAGATGTGAGACAAAGTGATCCCCGATGACAGTCCAGCGGGATGGATTGCTGTTTCTCTTCCATGTTTAAGCCAGAATCCCCTGCGTTTAGTGGGGTGTTTCTAAGTTGAGCCTGGAGTGCAGGGGGAAGTTTGCTGCTTCATCCCTCCTCCCCGTGTTTTTCAGGTGCGAGGAAACAGACCACTCTGCCCTTTAAGCCATTGAAGAAAATGAAGAAGCGAAACCCTTGGTCTGACTCAGGGTCTGACTCAGAGTCTGATTTTGAAGCTCCTCCTCAGAGAGAGAAGGTGGTTCGTCAGGCAGCAGGTGAGCAATGACCTGAAGGCAGGATGGGGGCCAGCCATGGAGGAGAAAATCCAACAGAGCCCAAGATCTACATTGGAAATAATTTTTAACAGGCTTATTTATTTTATTGTGTATAACAAGTCAATATTTTTACCATTGGAACAGATTGTCAGAATGCTTTTCAGGGAAAAGCAGAAGTGGGCAACCAGAGAAATAAGGTTATTGGTTTTAATTGCACAACAAATGTGTTGGTGGTAAACGAGCCTGGGATACGCACGCGCTTTGGAGTCTGTTCACTGGCAGTCTCAGAATCTGCTTGTTTTTATTCACATCTTTATTTTTTAATAACTGCAGCTAAAATATTGAAAAAGAAACGGAGCTGCATGTTGCCAAATGTGTAAAATAACACATCTGTGTCCTTTCATCAGCCAAAGTCAAGACTATAATCAGTTCGGACTCGGATGAAAATCTCTCCAACTCAGAGGAGGAGTCTGAATTTCAGGCCGACAGCGAAGGCAACACCGACTCCGACACGAGCTTGAAAGAAAAACCTGCTCCCAAGCCCAAAGCGGCTCCAAAGTGAGTCTTTTCCCACAGAGGCACTGGAATTAGAGCTTCTAGTGTTAATGCTGTAGAGTAATTAATAGCTCTCTTTCTTCAGTGCACCTATTTAGTGTGTCGTAAGTTGAAAAACTACTTGGGGTTTTGTATTCCAGGGGAACCACCGAAAAAGCAGCTAAAGCTCCCAAGCCAAAGCCCGAGCAAAGCACTGTCCCTGGTGAGTACAGGACGTCCAAAACCCTGCTGATTTTCCCAAAATCCCAGGAGATTGCACTGGGATTTCTGGTCAGGGCTTGACGCTGACGGGGCAGACATGGGTCACGAGATCTCACCTAGAAGCTGTGATGGTGGGGCACAGGCTGGCTGGTTCTAACATGAATCTGTGATTAATCCTGTTTTCATAGTCATTCTTTTTATAAAGTGGATCAAAACTCTTCTGCTCTAATGTTTATAGCCAGAGTAGATAATTTGACTGTTTTAAACTTCCTTTCTGCTTTCTTTGTTCAGTTCAAGCCCAAGAAGTTGCTGATGAGAACCCGAGTGAAGCTCCTGCAGATCCTCCTGTCCCTGTGCCTCAGAGGAAGGCCGGGTCCAAAAAACCTGCTGCAGCCAAGAAGGCCAGTGCCACTAAGGGTAAGGTGACATTTAGTAAGATCATGTTTAGTTATCAATTATTATTCCTGTGGGAAACAAATCCGGGTGATTTTTACTGGGCAGTCAGAGGCCCAAATAACTTGAGCTTTCATTTCAGGAAAGGCTTGAGGTTTGTGGCAGAGGCTGCCTCGTTGTTGTCATTTTTCAAGCAGTCTGTTTCCAAACATATCATGTTCTAGTTCATGTCAGACATGCTCGAAGGGAAGGAATTTTAGTTTGGGAACAGGAAAAGTGAATGCTTCCTACAGCACTATGTAATACTTGGCAGGAATCATCCAAGAGGAATTTGTGTCTTGCAGTCAATGTTCTACTTCGTGTCTTTGGGGGAAGGAAGCTTCTTGGTCTCCCTCTTCCCAGGCAGGAGCAAACCTTCTCTGGGGTAGCGTGGTCTATTTAGTGCTACCTTGACCTCATAAATATGTGGCATTTGACTCAGGTTTTTTAAACTTTACTGCCCAGAGTCTCTGTCAAACTTTGCAAGCAGTTCTGCATATCCCATCTCGGGCGGGTTTTGGTCCCAGCAGTGTATGTAGCAGGATGTTATTTCACAGCAAAAGAGCCATTTCTTCCACTTCTAAATTGAGAAAAGCTGAAATTCCTGAATTTGAGGCTAACTTGGAGAAATACTTTAAGATGCTCATAAAAAAATATCAAAATATAGGTAAGAACAAACCCCAGGAGTGACTCTTTGGTGCAGACAGTAAATTCATTCCTTCCCTGTGCAGAAATTTCGAAGGTCCCGGGTTGGTTCTGCAGCCTTGAGAGTTTCAGGACTTTCCAATCTGAAAATAGTCTGTAAATTTCTTTGGGTACATTTTAATCTCATCCTCGGAACGCAGTGGGACCGAGCAGATAAACAACCTCCTCTCTCATCATCTGGGTCAAGAGCAACCTTTGGGGAAAACCCCTCTCGGAGTGAGAATGACCTGTGTGGGGTTGTAGGAGTCATTCACCAGCTGCAGATGAGCCAGAGAGGCAGGAAAAATGCGGGTTTAAGGGTTTTGTGGTTCCCTTTCAGATCACCAGCCCTCCATCCTGGAGGTTCTGGCCAAGAAAAAGGCTGCCCCCAAACCCAGCAAGGCAGCGGCGGCGAAGGAGGCGGCTCCGGATGCGGAGGCCAAAGGAGCAGGTGGCAAGAAGCCTGGCCAGGCCAAGGGGAGGAAAGTCCTCAAAAGGCAGCCCAGCTCCTTGGATTCCAATTCAGATTCAGATTCGGATTTTGGGTTGAAACCTTCCAAATCAGTCGCAGCGAAGGTTTGTACTTGCCACTGTCAGAGCCAGGGGGATGCAAGGGGTCGGTGTTGGGTTTTTGGGCAGAAAAAGTCTGGGAGAGGTAGAACCTCCCCTGTGCTCCCCACCCTTACTGCTGGGGGTGGGAAGGGGGGCTCGGGGCACCCGGATCTATCCCAGAGTGTCAGTTTGGCCTCTTTAGTCCCAGCAGCCACCTTCCCTGTGACACCGAGGTGTGTTTTGTGCTGATGGAGTGGTCCCTGTTCCCACTTGGATTCGTGTTTCACTTCTTGACTGTGCTTTTCCCTCAGAAATCCAAGCTGGAGGATGATGACAGCTTCACCCTCGATTGTGCAGAGAGCCCCGTCGCAGCCGTGCCCCGCACCAGGCCCGGGCGTCTCAAAAAGCCTGTCCAGTACTTGGAGGAGTCTGATGAAGATGATATTTTTTGAATTTTTATGAAGATTTTAACCTGCTGATCCATAATCCAGGAACCAGCCTTCAGCAGAGCCCCGGGACAAGCTGCCACCCAAGAGCAGCAGCCCCAACTGGGAAATCTTTTCACTGAATTTAAGCTACTCCACAAATGTTTGGTACAAGTGACTACGGCTCTATTTTTCTTGGTTTTAAATAAGTTAGATTTGTTTAAACAGGAAACTACCCCCCCCCTTTTCTCGTGAAGGCTGGAGCCGTGAGCCCAGCCTAGTGCTGATGCACTTCCCTCTTCCCCAGGAGCTACCTGGAGTTGTTTCATACTTTGTGGTCGTTTTAAACTTTAGAACTTATCAAATCCTTTAAAATACCCTCTCGCATAGATACCTTCCTCTTTAGATAGCTTAAAAATTGATAAAACACGTAAGCTTTTAACTCAGCAGGGGGAGAACCCCCAACGCTGGTGTTTTCCTCTCTCTTCTGGGGCCCTTTCTGCCTGTGCAGGTCCCCGTTGCTCAACCTCCACCACGTTGGGTTTTAGCCTTTGGGGTTTTTAGATTTGGGTTGAGGAAAAGGCAGCTTTGTGCAGACTTGTCTCCGCCTGCCAGTTTTATCTCCTCGTCCCGCTGCCAGGAACCCCCGTGTGCAGCCCAGAGGTCATCTCCGGGTAAGATGTTCTGGCTGCCAGATCTTGGTGCTGGTGAAGAGCCAAAGGGCATGTCCCTGTTGTGGGATGGGACAGAGGGACAGAGGCAGGACAGACAGTGGCCATCCCGGGCTCTCTGCAGGAAAAGCCAGTTGGTTACTCCCAACACGAAGCTTCTCCTGCCCTTTCCTTCCTGGGGACAAACCCCCTGAGCTCCCCCACACTCCTGGAGGAGGAATGTGGTCCTTTGTGAGGTGGGACCTCTTTGTCACAGAGTGGTCAGACCTTCCAGCGCTCAAGTTCCTCAGCAGAAGCCTCATCTTCCTCTTCCCATCCCAAATAATTCACTGGAGTATTTATTTCTTCACGTTTTGCTTTTCTTAGACCTGTTCTGGAGCACCGTGGGGTATTTCTTGACTGTCTGTAAATATTTTCTGTGTTTTCTTCTTCTTGTCCTGACTTTGTCCCTTTTAATATTTATATAATAAAATTGGTTTGGTTTTTGGTTTTTTTTTTTTTTACTCAAGCTTTCTTCAATAAAAAGGAGTTGTCCTCAGCTGCCTTCTCCCCCTGCTTTTCCCTCTTTGTTCCACGCTGAAGCTTGGACTTTCTCAGGAGCAGAGAGGCCATCGCCTCCCACCCTCATAAAAAGGAGTTGTCCTCAGCTGCCTTCTCCCCCTGCTTTTCCCTCTTTGTTCCACGCCGAAGCTTGGACTTTCTCAGGAGCAGAGAGGCCATCGCCTCCCACCCTCCTCTGCCAAGACCCATCTTAAATGGGTCATCTCCATTGTCTAACCCCCAGCTCGTTAGTTCTGAGGTCATTTCCAGGGCTGATTTAACCAATTTTGGGCATTGTTATGGAAATAAGGGCTGCAGAGCTTGTGGCAAGCCCTCTGCTCCGCCAGCGCAAAGCGCTGGCGGAGCAGAGGGCTAGCCACAAGCTCTGGTAGATCATGGAGTTATGGAATGGTTTGGGTTGAAGGGATGTTGAAGACCAGGGACACCTCCCACCAGCCCAGGTTGCTCCTGACCTTGAACCCCTCCAGGGATGGGGCTAGCCACAAGCTCTGGTAGATCATGGAGGCATGGAATGGTTTGGGTTGAAGGGATGTTGAAGACCAGGGACACCTCCCACCAGCCCAGGTTGCTCCTGACCTTGAACCCCTCCAGGGATGGGGCTAGCCACAAGCTCTGGTAGATCATGGAGTTATGGAATGGTTTGGGTTGAAGGGATGTTGAAGACCAGGGACACCTCCCACCAGCCCAGGTTGCTCCTGACCTTGAACCCCTCCAGGGATGGGGCTAGCCACAAGCTCTGGTAGATCATGGAGGCATGGAATGGTTTGGGTTGAAGGGATGTTGAAGACCAGGGACACCTCCCACCAGCCCAGGTTGCTCCTGACCTTGAACCCCTCCAGGGATGGGGCTAGCCACAAGCTCTGGTAGATCATGGAGGCATGGAATGGTTTGGGTTGAAGGGATGTTGAAGACCAGGGACACCTCCCACCAGCCCAGGTTGCTCCTGACCTTGAACCCCTCCAGGGATGGGGCAGCCACAGCTTCTCTGGGCAACCTGGGCAAGGCTCTCACCACCCTCACAGCGAAGAAGTTCTTGAGATCTTGCCTCAATCTTCTTCCCATGTCAAACCCTTCCCCCTCATCTTTTATCATTTCCTTGCTGCTGACACCGTGGCTTTGCTAAAAACCACGGGCTGGACCCGCTTCCTCGCCTTGAGGTTCCCAAATTCTTACGAATTCCCCTGTGGCTCCGGGACAGACCGTCTGCCCCAAGTTCTGCTTCTGCAGCCGATGGCTGGTGGTGGCCACAGGTGAGCGGGGGCTGAAGTTTCCGAGGTGCTCAGCGCTCCTGGGGGGGTGGTGGTGGGTGCTGAGCCACCTTCCCGGGCTGGCATCGCACCCCCAAGGGGCTCCCTGCCTGTTTTGGGTCTATTCCAGCTGCTCCTGGGGAAAATGGGGGGGTCAGTGTGTGTGTGTCCCCAGGGGGGAGGGATCAGGGTCACTAATGAAGCCCTGGGGGATGAGCTGTGATGTCTCACGTCCCTTGGGGAGCCACCACTGGCACCTGGGGACCAGCAGGACCCAGTTGTGACACCCACCTTCCCCCAGGTCCTGGGCTGGTGATCAACCACACACAGGGGGGGGCTGCCAAACCCTGTATCCCCCCCACCCCTGGCCATGGGGCGGGCGCGGGCACTATCGGTGCCACCGAGGTGCTTTGCTGGAACCCAGTCAAGTGTGGAAAGCGCTGTCAGATTTTCCACTGCCGGGCTCTGGAGAGCGTCTCCGGCGCGTCCCCGCCGAGGGGGCCGAGCTATTTCGGGCTCTCCTGGCTGCCAGTGCCCGGGGAATCAGTTGTCAGGACTCGCCCGGCAAACGGTGAGGCCACGGCCGCGTCGCACCGGCCACTCCGGGCGGGCTCTGGAGCTGCCCCCGTAACCCCACCGTCACCCCACATGTATATATAGACCTGTGTGCATGAGAAGACACACACCCCATCGTCACAGAGGGCACCACAGTGTCCACACCAGGCTTTTCTCCATCGCAAAATCTCCAATAGAGACCTCGGGGATGCTGGGCGCTGCAGGAGGAGGGGGATGAAGATGGGAGGGCATCGGGCACCAACCCACCCCGGGCATCGCGTGGGCAAGGAGGGTCCAAGGGTGCCCTGTGTCTGCCAGGGCTGTGCTCCTGTTACCAGAAAGGGAATCCGAGGCACAGGCAAAGGGCACGGGGACTGGTTGGAGAGGGGCTGGTGGGAGACCTGGCAGTGCCAAGAGCCCTGGACATGCCATGAGCCCTGGTAGTGCCATAAGCCCTGCCTGTGCCATGAGCCCTGGAAGTGCCAAGAGCCCTGGACATGCCATGAGCCCTGGTAGTGCCAACAGCCCTTGCAGTGCCAAGAGCCCTGGACATGCCATGAGCCCTGGCAGCGCCATAAGCTCTGGTAGTGCCATAAGCCCTGCCCGTGCCATGAGCCCTGACAGTGCCAAGAGCCCTGGATATGCCATGAGCCCTGCCCATGCCATGAGCCCATTTCTTGCAGCAGTGCGAGAAGCAACTCCCCAGCAGCACAACACCCCAGACACATCGGAGCTGGGGGCAGCCTGGGATGGTCCATGGGACGAGCCCTGCCCGTGCCATGAGCCCATTCCTTGCAGCAGTGTGAGAAGCAGCTGCCCAACCCCACAACACCCCAGACACGTCGAAGCTGGGGGCAGCCTGGGATGGTCCATGGGACCCTCCGCATCCCCAGCGACCTGGGCACAGTGCCACGGAGCGGGGAGGGCTGGTGCCAGCCCCAAGCATCCCCCGTGGGGAGACCCCAGCCTCGGGAAGGGGGCAGGGCAGGGGCTGCCGTGGCACAGATAAATGCAACCAATGTCCCTGGGCTCTGCCGGGGCCGTGGCAGCGATGCCAGCCCTGGGTGGGGGGGCTTTTTGGGGTCTGCTGTGGCTTGGTACCCCCTCAGCCCTGGGGATTTGGGGGGGCCGAGGCACAGGGGCTTTTCTGCATTGGGGGGCCACTACCCCCTGCCCCAACCTGTGCCTGGGCAGCTGCTGGTTGTGGGGCAGGGGCAGCCTTTGTCCTTGAGCCCCCCCCCCAACAACCCCCAGCAGAGCCCAGCCCTTCCCACCCCCTCCGGGCGCCCTCCCGGCTGCTCTGTCGCTTTAAAAGGACTCCAGGCGTGGCTGCGGGACCGTCATCCCGTCCCGCCGGACAAGGGACCGGACACTCCGGGACAGCCCGGGACAGTCGCGCCACCGTGGACCGCAGCCTCCGCAGGTACCGGGACCAACGCCCCCCCCGCGCCGGGCTGGGGGGGATGCTCCACGGGTGTGGGGGGGGACACAAGTGATGGGGACCCTCCTAGTCGTGTCCCAGCTGGTGGCCTTGGACCCATCTTTGGGGGAGCAAGTTCAGGGGGGCAGCAGACACCTGGGGATGCTCTGGGGTGATGGGGTGCTCTGGGCACCCTCCTGCCACTGGTGATGGGCTTGGCACGCAGGAGGATGAGATGGAGGGGGCTTTGCTGCCCACTGGGGGGGTCCATCCCACTGGGGGGGTCCATCCCAGTGGCCACAGCATCGCCCTCAGTGCTGACCCCGCTCCCACAGCGCGGCCATGGGCGAGTGGGGCTTCCTGAGCTCGCTGCTGGACGCGGTGCAGGAGCACTCGCCCATGGTGGGGAGGTTCTGGCTGGTGGTGATGCTCCTCTTCCGCATCCTGGTCCTGGCCACGGTGGGCAGCGACGTCTTCGAGGACGAGCAAGAGGAGTTCGTCTGCAACACGCAGCAGCCGGGCTGCAAACCCGTCTGTTACGACGCCGCCTTCCCCATCTCCCACTACCGCTTCCTCGTCTTCCACGTCGTCGTGCTCTCGGCCCCCGCCGCCCTCTTCGTCATCTTCGCCGTCCACCAAGCAGCCAAACCGGGGGGGGGCGGGGGGGCTCCCGGCCAGCGCGCCCGGCGCCTCCAACCTTTCTACGTGGGCAGCGTGGTGGCCCGTATCGCGGCCGAGCTGGGGTTCCTGCTGGGGCAGGCGCTGCTCTACGGTTTCAGGGTGCAGCCGCTCTTCGTCTGCCGCCGCCGGCCCTGCCCGCACCGCGTCGACTGCTTCGTCTCCCGCCCCACCGAGAAAACCGTCTTCATCCACTTCTACTTCGTGGTGGGGTTGGTCTCGGCGCTGCTCAGCCTGGCCGAGCTCGCCCACCTCCTGCGCAAGGGACCCCCAACCCGGGGTGGGTGCTGCCACCGGCCGCAGGAACGGGGTCCGGCCCCCGGGCAACCGGCGGAGGAGCCGTGTCACCCCAACGTGTCCCCGCCACGGGGGGACCTGACCGTGTAGCCGGGTCTGGGCTGACATCGCTGGCACGAGCTGTGGCTGG